GGGGGGGGGTCCATGAATAGCCTGGGAGTGAGATGTATGGCCAGGAGGGAGGATGAAGAAGCAATCTGGGGGTGCAGGGTTTTGGAAGGGGAGGTGCATGAGGGGGTTAAGAGGTTCGGGGTCCTGGGCATGATGGGGATTGGGAGCGATTATCTGGCTTCATGTCCCCACCACTTTCAGGTACCATATCTCTGGCAGTACCTCCCAGTTTGTAGGAACTTGCTGCACTTGTGGGCTAGATCCAGTTTGTGAGGCTCAGGTCCCCCCCACTCTAGTGGGAAGCCAGAACTGGTGCTCCAACCTATATTCATAGCCCTGGCATGCTACATAGCTCAGAGTGAGTATTAAGCTTAGAACATTTCAGGCTTTTATAAAAGACCGTACTCCCCATATCCGACAGGGAAATGTCTGTGTAGCCCAACAGTTCATCCAACTGACATGATTCTTTGAGATTCAAGCCCCTAGGAGAGTCTAGCCCCACGTGCTGGACATGGAAGAATAAGCACGAGGTTAGACAGCTGGAGGTCAGAATTCTAATCCAGCCTGTTCCACAGATTCCCATGTGGTGTTGATCAAGACAGGAGGGTTTTTTCCCTCTGTTTCTCCTATAGAATGGGATGGTCGTGGTCCCCTGAAACCAAGGAGGGCCCTGGGAAGGTTTGTCAAGGCAGTCCAGTGTCTATATAAAATCCTGTCATGGGTTGCTGTGTTTTTCTATGGAGTAATACAGTGACATTTAACTAGAACAGGTAGTGAAATGCTCCCACTGGCACAGGGAATCTACATCCCAGCATGTGGGGGTTGTTTGCGAAAGAGACGAGGGAAGGGCAGCAGAAGTGGGATGACTGGACGTTAAAACAAATTCCAGTCCTCCTCCTCAGTGGAGATGCACAAGGGCTATGGAGACTGCAATATTTTTTATGAGGCATCTGACTTGACAGTTAAACACCTGCACAGAACAGGAACCCTGAGTTGGCAGCATTGCAAAAATAAGGGACTATTTTTAGCACCTTTCTGCCCCACTCGTCCTCCTTTTATCATTAATAATAATAAACAGAACTCACCTATGTTTACCAGGAGTATTTCTTGCTGCTTTTTGCAGCATTCAGCTATTGCTGATCTTCTTGTACTAGTTGAACCTCTCTAATCCGGCACTCTCTGGTCCAACAGAATCTGTGGTCTTCAATGACTGTAGTTAGCTGGATATCCACTTATCATGGGTATGGTCAAGTTTTCTGTGGTCCCTTAAATGTTGTTTACAGCCATCAGTCCTGGCTCTCACTGCTCTCTGTTCTTTAGCTCTAATTTACCATCAAATATGTTCTAAGAGCCCTATAAACAGTAGATGTGTTGGTAATGCTTTTTGACAACATTGACCAGGAAATATTGTCCAGCAAATTATTTGGTTCAGCACTGGTCACTTTCCGAGGGTGCCGAATTACAGAGGTTCATTTGTACACAAATGATGTAATAAAGGAGGTCCCTTCCAATAAGGATCTGTTGGCAACTCAGTGCACAGTACAGGAGATATGTGCTACCACTCAAGGCTGAGTGAATACAAAGTAAGGTGCAATTGTGCTGCCAGCTAAGAATTGGTTTTCCTCTCTAAATGTGAATCAGAATCTGTAGGTTATTGGAATGTAGAAAGAAACTTGTCTGCAGTGATTCAGGAAAAGCAGTGCAGCGAATCTCAGGCTGAAGGACATGCACTATATTGTGTGGAAAGGGGTCTCATTGCTTTGATGCTTGTATGGGGAGAGAGGGAGGGAGACAGCTGGTTCCACTTACATGAGTAATTTCCAGATGTTTTCTACAGCAGTTTCCACTCCTCCACTCTGAGACAGCAGCAGCTGGTGTGAGAGTTTGACTGGCTGCAGGAAAACAGCTGTTACAGCAAGGAACAGAAACTGAAGGCTGCAGGGAGGTTTTTGTACTGGTCTGTATCACCGTGAGAGGTAAGCTCCAGCCCTGCTGACAATAATAATCTCCAGCATCATCAGGTTCTACCGGGCCAATGGTGAATGTGAAGTCGGTGCCAGACCCGCTGCCACTGAACCGGTCTGGGATCCCAGAGGGACGGGTGGAGGCGCTGTGGATGAGGAGTTTAGGAGCTTGTCCTGATTTCTGTTGGTACCAGGCCACCCTGTTGCTAACACTGGAACTGGCTTTGCAGCGGATAGTGACTGTGTCTCCAGGAGACACTGCTAGGGATTCTGGTGTCTGAGTCATCACAGTCTGTCCCTTTGCATCTGGATGAGAGGAAAAACCAAGTAACATCAAATGACATACAAGTTAAAAAAGCAAAAAGAAGTCTGCAAATCTCTAGGAAGTAATCTTCATGTAGTCAGCCTAGTTACAGCACCAATTGGAACTGTATCTTACTGTGGTATGATGGAATAAAATATTAATCTGCTTTTGGAAAAATCATGGGTGAGACAGTCTCTTAATTTCCTCTATGCTCTTACCCTGAATCCAGAGTACTAGGAGCCAGATCAGATGATTCTGTGAAATCATCATTGTCCCTCTAGTCTGACAGACACTGACAATGTAAGGCATAAAGTCTAAGAAATAAAATTTATAGCTGCTGTGTCTTCCAAGGAAATGCTACTTGGGCAGAAATATGCAAAGCAGGTGCTCTATGTAAATGTGCATTGGCTGTGTCCGCATGCAGAGAGTACAGAGACAGGAACGTGCACAGTCTTTGGTCTGATAATGTGACTACTGTAGATGAACTGAGTATTACATGCTGCATACAGCTGGATATGGCTTATCAGTATGTGCTTTAATGCAATACCCAGTGTTTGTGTCTTCCTCATTGGTTACTTTGAGCCAGAATCTGACAAGTTTCTTTTGAATTATATCCTATTTTGTGAGTCCTTCTGTTGGTATCACTGGTCTCAGAGTTACTAACACTGGAGTCATGAACAGATCAGTCAACCACGCACCTTGTTGGGAACTGGAAATCAGGTGGCAGTAGAGATTAAGGAAACCCAAACCCCAAATACAGCACAATACTATCACACATAAACTACTAAAATAATTAAGGGACAACAGCATTTTTCTGCTGCATAGCCATTTCAAAGCTGTACTAAGTCCATGTTCAGTTGTAAATTTTTGAAGGAATCATCGTGTTTAGTTTAGAGTTCCAAATGTTCTGAACAAGTTCCATTTGCGAGGTGTTTGCGACTCCAAGGTTCGACCGTCGTGGTTGTGGCATGAGCTGATACTCAGCATGAGACATTGATCCACCCTTTCTGGAACACACTTTGTTCACTGTTGTCGTTTAAGTTGCCAGGACAGTCATTTTACTCCTAAACCTCCTTTCAGGATGCTTGCCTGTGAAGCCGGATAGCGCTCGGTGCTGTTGTGAGGGCAGGGGACTGGACTTAATGATCTCTCGAGGTCATTTCCAGTTCCACTGTTCTATGACTCTGTGACGATTCTTGGGTGATCCTCATTGCTTTTCTAACTCTGTTTCAAGGACCCTGCTGTTAGGTTCAGGACAGCTGGGTTTGAAATACCCTCAGGCTTCTGTTTAACCAGAATAAATTTTCCATTACTATAAAGGTAACGTTGAGTGACCCTGCATCCGCACACAGAAGGAAACCATAATCTTATAAGAGCCCATCAGTGCTTGACTTACCAACCAGTCTAGCTCTCCTATTTGCTCTCTCTCCAGGTATGTCAACAATGTAACTGAGGGTATCCTGTGCCAGCTGACTCTGGCTCCCAGGGCTCAGTATAGTATGTAATAGCACGTGTCCTTTTTGGTCTTCATCCCCTTCATCATACAACTCCATTTAACAACTTCTATAACTACCTCTTACATCAATTTCATTTGTGCCTGGTCTCTTCTCCACAGGGCATTGGGCCATGTTGATATTAGAAAGGTTTTGCTGGCAGAGTTATACTAGTTGAACGGTAACAGCAAACCATCCTCGTCTGGTTGCCGTATTGAAGTGTTTATGTCAGTGCAGTTTACACCTGTTCCCTAGAGACACGTTCTCTGCTGGCAGAAGCACTTTTATGGCTTCAGAACTGGATCTAGATCTGTAGGTCAAAAAATCACAGTGACAGGGTGAGTCACAGAGATCACTTCAGACTGTGTGTTGATGGGCTGATCACACCCCAGAGCCCACCTACCTGCCTTCAGGAGCGCCCCACTGTCCTTCCTTACTAGGCCAGAAGCTCTGGTTTCTCCCAGCAATCACCAAAGTCGAGATAACCGCCCACAGCAGAACAGAACAAACACTGCAGGCAGCTCAGCTTTGGGAGGGCTTAGTTAAAGGGACTTGGCACAGCACCCAGGTGCACACCCCCAGTGGGACCAGAATTTTTCTGCAGCACAAACTCATAAGTTGTCCGTTCCCTTTATCAATGAGAGACGAAGAGCTGTTATTGCCCTCCTCCTTTGTAATTCTTTGGTGTCTCCTCATCCTAATGCCTCATATAGTTGCTACCTCCCCTGTAGTGGGAGTGGACACAATGTCTCATGCAGCCTGCCACCGTGGTCATGCCGTGTGCGCCAGCCTGAGCGCTGCTGTAGAGTGAAGAGAGTCCTTCCCTCCAGGGCTCAGTCCTGCTGTCTCTGAAACCAGCCCAGCCCTCAGGATATCGGCACTGCTCCTCCAACATGGCAGCCCTGCCATTGGCCACCGACTCTAACTTGAAATACACAGACAGATTCAGGGCACCAATAAGAGTCATGTTGAGAGGCTCAGGGATAGGGTGAAATGATTGAAGGTCGTAGAGGAATCACGTTGTTCAGGGGATGTAAAATTCCTTCTCTTGGCAAGAAAATTTCTTTGGCCGTAAAGTCATCTGGTTTGAGTATGTACTTTGTTTGTGTTGGGGCAGTGGGCGGACTTACAAGAAGGGTTTTTTTTTTTTATGCTGCTCTGTATCATTGTGAGAATGGTGTTCTAGCCCTGCTGACAGTAATAATCTCTACCATCCACAGCTTGAACCCTGCAGATGGTGAGAGTGAAATCAGTCCCAGACCCACAGCTGCTGAACTGGTCTGGGATCCCAGAGGGATGGGTGGAAGCAAGGTAGATGAGGAGCTTAACAGTGTCTCCCATTGTCTGCTGGTACCAAAATAAGTAGCTAGTGCCTGAGTCAGTAAGGCTGGAACTGGCTTTGCAGTTCATGGTGATTTTGTCTTCTGGAGACACTGCCAGGAATTCTGGAGTCCGAGTTGGCACAATGTTTTGTCTGGCAACAGGATTTATGAACAAAGTATAATTTACTATGTTGGCTCTACATTCAGTGAGTCACACCGGAAAGTACGGTGACAACTTAAAGATTCCTTTTGGCACCTTCTTATAATTACTATAGCTCCTCACCTAACCATGGTGTTAGAAGATGAAACCTTTTCACTATAAATCACTTTATCTGTTGCTCTCTGCTTTTTCATGTGTTTTTTTTCTTTTGTCTGTTTTCATAACATAAACATTCTCTGAAGTTAGTGGCACTTGGTGGTGAAGCTTATTGTTTGATATGCAAATGCTGTGGATTTAAACGTTTTCTTTTCTGGGTCGATCTGTAGCTTTTTAGAATCAAAGATAGCTGACCAGCATGCTGATCCAGCTTGTTCCTATGCTCAGCCACCCCTCAGCTATAGGGACAAAGACACCCAGCGCTGGGGACATTGGGCCTCTGAAATTATGGCTCTGTCATTCATATAAAGTTGTTACAACAGTAAAAATCACGGCACATATTCTAAAATAATATGATTAACCAATATGATATTCACAGCTCTCTTCTACTGGTTATATTGACTGGATTCTAATCTTTCTTGTGCTTCTCTCCACTGACTTCAAAGAACTGACTTATGGTTGAACTAGCTCCTGAGTCTTTGAAATACTTGGTTTTTTGTCATGGTAGAATATGTCCCTGTGTGTCTACAGGCTGGGTGTACAGCTAAGAACTTTGGACAAAATGCTTTGCATACATTTAAGTGACCAATCTTTTGCTCTGAGTGTCTCATCAGTGTTGTGTTTGACTCTTTGTGGTGAGTTGCTCAGCACTGTACAGTCAGATGCATGAAGATGCTCCCAAAGGTTGAATTATTGAGTTCTGAACATAAGGGAGGAATTAACCTTAACAGGGCACATTGCACTCGGGTGGAGCTCAATGGAAGGAACAGCCAGCACCTCCAATAGGCTGTACCGTTTGGCACAAAACCAAATTAAAGCCTTAACCCCCAACTTCTGCCCCAGCCCTCAAAGTATCAAACTGCTTCAAAGAAATGAGGAAATATGTGGGTTTTTTGCTTCAGAGCCCACTTGTGAACCTGACAACTGCCCTATTGCCTCCCCTGACGCCCCGAGTGGCTGTGACTTTTCCTGTGCCAGAGGAAGGCTGAACACAGCCAGTAGCACCCATCTGGGCTATTTCAGGTGTCCTCCAGTGTGGGTTGCTGGAGAGTAACATGAGATGTTCCATCATGGCAAAGGGGAGTGTGTTGCCCCTTCAAACCTGCTAGCTCTGTACCTGTTAGCTGACAACTGCAACGTCCTCTTGTCCCCCATGTGGGCTGAGACTGGCTGAGCTTCTGCACTGGTTCCAGGGGCTCAGCTCTAGGGTTGGAGGAAGGGCCTACCACAGATGGTGGGCATCAGAGACCACTCAGAGCTGGAGCTGCACTGAGGTCTGGCCAGGGGGTAGAGAGGAGTCATCAGCAGGTCTGTGACCTAATAGGAGTGAGTCGTGGGCAGGTGGGGAGGGACTAGAGGCAGACAGCAGATTGTTGGGACCTCGACCCCCAGCACCAAAGCCTCTTTTAGGATCTGAGCCTCGCCCCCTGATTCCACTGGTGTCATTGCAAACCCAGTATTGCTCTGGAGTCCAGGAACTTGGTCCAGCCTCCGCAAAAGGCAGCACTGCCAATAAAGCCCTGGGAGGACTATTTCCGTTTCAACCATGAAATGCCCGGAGGGGGCAGCAAGTAAGAATTCTTGCATCTTGATCTAAACTTCCTGACATCAGTAGGATCTTTCCACCGGCTTCAGTGGTTTTTGGGCCAGTCCCTGCTGCTACCACAAGTTCCAGTCCCCTCTGTTGTGCCTTCAGCAGAGATGTATGAGAAATGACGAAGGGAGAGGACAATGGGGTGAGATGTCTGAAATTGACAGATGCTCCACCATTCTGACAGTAGCTGTTGGTGTGACACTTGGACTGGCTGCAGGAAAACAGCTGTTTTGATGAGGACCAGAAACTGACGGCAGCACGGAGGTTTTCGTATTGGTCTATCACTGTGAGAGGTGAGCTAGAGCCTTGTTGACAATAATAATCTCCAGCATCATCTGCTTCTACCCGGCTGATGGTGAATGTGATGTCGGTGCCAGACTTACTGCCGCTGAACCGGTCTGGGATCCCAGAGGGACGGGTGGAGGCGCTGTGGATGAGGAGTTTAGGAGCTTGTCCTGATTTCTGTTGGTACCAGGCCATGTTGCCATAAACACTGGAACTGGCTTTGCAGCGGATAGTGACTGTGTCTCCAGGAGACACTGCCAGGAATTCTGGCATCTGAGTCATCACAACCTGTCTCTTGGCATCTGGATGAGGAAAACATAAGTAACATCAAATAAAATACAATTAAAACAAATGAAAATAATCTGCAAATCTCTAGTAACTAATCATCATGTTGACAACCTAGTTATGTAGAGGCCTGTTCCAAATGGAACTGTATCTCGCTGTGAGTTCATGGAATGAGGAAGTAATGTGTTTGCAGAAATCTGTGATGGGTGAGAGATTGTTAATCTCTTCTGATGATGATCTTACCCTGAATGCAGAGCATGAGGAGCTATATCAGATACTTCTGTGAAATCATCATTGCCCCTTTAGTCTGACAGACACTAATATTTTAAGTCTAAGAAATAAAATGTATAGCTGCTGTGTCTTGCAAGGAAATGTTACGTGGGTAGAAATATGCAAAGCAGCTGCCTCATGTAAATGTGTATTCTCTGTGTCTCGGTGCAGAGAATGAACCATGTGCCCTGCAGTCTTTGGTCTGAGTATGCAGCTCCAATTAATGGAACTGATTATTGTCTGAATGGAGCTGGATATGGCCCCTGTTATCAATATATGCTTTAATGCAATACCCTCTGTGTATTTCTTCATCACTGGTTACTCTGAGCCAGAATCTGAGAAGCTTCCTTTGAGTTATATCTTACTCTGAGAGTCCTTCTGTTGGTATCAGTGGTTCAGTAGTACCTCAGAGTTACAAACATCAGAGTTACGAAGTGACCAGTCAACCATATCTTGTTTTGAACTGGAAATCTGGCAGCAGCAGAGAGCAAGCAAACCCAAACCACAAACACAGTACCGTGCCGTGCTACACGTAAAATAGTGTTTACCTTTTTTTTTTTTTTTTTTTTAAAACTTCATTTTTCTCCTGCGTAGCCAGTTTAAAGCTTTATTAAGTCTATGTTCAGCTGTAAACTTTTGAAAGAAAATCACGTTTTGCAAATATTCTGAACTAGGCTCATTCACAAGATTTTTGTGACTGAGGTTTTACCGTGCAGCTTGTGGCATGAGTGGATACTCCCTGTGAGACATTAATCCGCCCATTCTGGAACACACTGTTCAGCAAAAATGACAAGGAGTCCTGTGGCACCTTATAGACTAACAGATTTATTGGCACATAAGCTTTCATGGGCAAAGACCCACTTCATCAGATGCATGTAGTGGAAATTCCAGAAGCAGATCTAAATATGCAGGCAAGAATAAGGCTAGAGATAACGAGGTCAATTCAGTCAGGGAGGATGAGGTCCACTTCTAGCAGGTGATCTGGAGGTGTGAAAGGAGAAACTGCCTTTGTAGGTGGCTAGCCATTCACAGTCTTTGTTTAATCCTAAAATGATGGTGTCAAATTTTCAGATGAACTGGAGCTCAGTAGTTTCTCTTTGAAGTCTGGTCATGAAGATTTTTTGTTGCAGGATGGCTACCTTTAAATCTGTTGCTGCTCATCCAGGGAGACTGAAGTGTTCAGTGCTGAGAATGCTACATGTAGATTAATCAACTAATCGAATGGTCAATGCAGTGATCATCGGCTATTTGATTAGTCGATAAGGCTGCCTCTGTCTTTGAAATGTAGCAAAAGTCCTTCCTGCTCTTGCTATCTTTCAAAAGTGGAAGTGCTGTAGGGAGCACTGGGCAAGTGGGGGACACAAGCAGTCCTCTGTTGGCCATGTGCTCCTTCCTTTTGAAATGTACAAAAGCCCCTTCCAGGCAAAGCATTTGTGAGGAGCATGTTCCTGATTTTGAAATTTCAAAAGCCGGGAGCGTAGAGCCAATGGAGGACTGCATACCCTCCTTTCCCCATGCTCCCGTGGCACTTCTGCTCTTGAAATGTAGCCAGAGCTGGCTCTGGCTACATTTCGAAGGTGGAAGCACCTCCAGTTCCCTGCTGCACCCCTGTCACCCCCCCAGGAGTCAGTGCTTTTAAGCTGGCTTCCAACAACACTGGGTTCTGCTCCCCCTCACTCTTTGCTGCCTCTGTGTAATAGCGACAGCAAGTTAGGGAGAAAGGAACTAGTCAAGTTTCTAGTCAACTAGTCACATACATCCCTATTTAGCACTGTTGTCCGAGTTGCCAGGACAGCCATTCTGCCCCTTAATCTTCCTCTCAGGATGCTTGCCTGTGAATCCCTTTCCTAACTCTGTTTCAAGGACTGTGCAGATCTGTTCAGGATGGCTGGGTTTGAAATACCCCCAGACGTCTGCTTCACCAGGTTAAACAATATGGTACTATAAAGGTAACTTGCCCCACATCCCACTGCCAGAAGGAAACCATCATCTGAAAAGAACCCATCAGAGCTTCTCTCACCAATCAGGCTAGCTCTGGTGTCGGTGATGTGGCCCTGCTGTTTCAGGTTATGACTACACGGCAGCTACGACTGGCCTATGCCAGCTGACTCAGGCTCCCTGGGCTGTTGCTCTGCTGTGGGCTGTGACCCCAACTCTGGTCATTGTAGAGGTAGATGATGTTTTTGGTTGTCATCCCCACCCTTCCCTAGCATACAGCTCTGCTACCAACTTGTTATATCAGACCCTTGTGTGTGTGCATAGTCTCTTCTCCGCAGTGTGTTGGGCCTTGTCAATGTGAGAAGTTTTGCTGGCAGAGTTATAACAGTTGACCTGGACCAGCAAATGATCCTAGTGCAGATGCCGTATTGAAGTGTTTTTGCCAGCCCGGTTTACACCAGTTCCCAGAGAGACTTTCTCTGCTGGCAGAAGCAATTTTATGGCTGCGTAACTGTATCTAGTTCTGTTGGTCAAAAAAATCACTGAGACAGGTTCGGTCACAGAGATCCAATTGTGACTGTGTGGATACACTGATCGTATCACTGAGCCCATCCATCTGCCTTCTGGGGTGCCCGACCACCCTGTGCTACTGGGCCGGAAGCTCTGGTTTCTCCCAGCAGCATCCAGAGTTGTGGTCACAGCCCACAGCAGAGCAACACAGACACTGAGAGCAGTTCAGCTCAGCTCTAGGAGGGCCCAGTTACAGGGACTTGGCCCAGCACCCAGCTGCACAGACTCAGTGGGGCCAAAAACCTGGATAAATCCCTCTTACTCTGTGTGACTTTTATACAGAGCAAGCTCATAAGATGTTTGCTCCCCTTATCAGGGAGAGAGAGATGAATAGTTGTTGTCTCCCCTCCCCCTTCATAACTCTGTGAACTTTAACTGTACAGAATTGAAGTAATAAGGGACGTACCTGCCTTTTAACATGGATATTTTGGCAACCCAGTGCACAGCACAGAAGGCATGTGCTGCTGTCCACGGCTGAGTGAATAGAAAAGAAGGTGCCATTGGGCTCCTAGTTAAAAATTGGAGGCAGCACTTTCCTCTCCTATTTGAGATTATCTGAAATGTGAACCAGGATCTGTAGGTTACTGAAATGTAGAAACAAACTTGTCTGCAGTGATTCAGAAAAAGCCATGCAGAGGATCTTTCTATCCCCTTTGGGAATAGACTTAAGGACATGCACCACTTTTTATAGAAAGGTATTTAACTGCTTTGATCCTTGTTTGGGGAAGGAGGCAGCCAGTCTGCTGTTTCTGCATACATGAGTAATTTCTAGAGCAGTGATTCCCAACCTTTTTCCCATGGAGGAACCTCTAAAATTTTTCAAATCCTGAGGAACGTGAACTCTCCCTGTTGTAATAATGTGTGTGTGTGTGTGCGCGCGCTTTCTGTTATTTGTAAAGAGCTGTTTATATGTATATGCGCATTGTAAGAAAAAAAATTGGAGCTTTTTTCCTGTCTCTTCTTGTATTATCTAATCTCTTTTTCAAATTTCAAATACAGGCAGTCCCCGAGTTACGCGGATCTGACTTATGTCCTCTCTCTCTCTCTTCTCCTCCTCCTGCCTCTCAATCTCTCTTTCTCTTCTCCTCTTCCGCCTGCCTGTCACTCACGGAGCCCAAATAGTTGCTTGCTCCCATGCGACGGCCCGTCTGAGCAGCGCAGAAGTCTGTCGAGCACTAGGGCAGGAGGCGAAGGGCATGACAGATGCTCCAGGCCCCACCTAGCGTTATTTATTCCACGATTTCTCGCGGGACCCCTGATGATTGTCCCTGGAAACCCAGGGTTCCACAGAACCCCCTGTTGGGAACCCTGTTCTAGAGGCTTTCTACTGCAGTTGCTGTTTCTCAGCTGCTCTGTTGGACTTGTATTGCAATTAGTGGGAAATGGGATCCAGTGTATAAGAGAAAATGCTCTTCAGGATTTTAAAGGAAGCTGCTGAAGATGTATTAATATAGCACCCTGTGCCTTCTGGCAGCTTGTTGCTACTTTGAGGGACCTGTAGAAACACCCACAAGGAGTAGAAGACAATGGGGTGAGGAGACTAAATTGACAGACACTTCAGTCTGAGATGGCAGCAGTTCGTGTGATACTTTGGCTGCAAGAAAACAGCTGTAAAAATGAGGAGTGGAAATGGAAGCCAGTAGGGAGGATTTTGTATTGGCCTGTATCACTGTGAGAGGGATGTAGCCTTGCTGACAATAATAATCGGCATCATCAGCTTCTACTTGGCTGATGGTGAATGTGAAGTTAGTGCCAGATCCACTACCTCTGAACCTGTCTGGGATCCCCGAGGGATGGGTGGAAGCAGCATAGATGAGGCGTTTAGGAGCCTCTCCTAATTTCTGTTGGTACCAGGCCATATAGCTGTCAACACTGAAACTGACTTTACAGCGGATAGTGACTGTGTATCCAGGAGACACTGCCAGGGATTCTGGCATCTGAGTTGGCACAGTCTGTCCCTTGGCATCTGGATGAGAGTAAAACATAAGTAACATCATTGTAATTTAATTTGAAGACAAAACAAAAAAAGAAATCTTTAGTGACTAATCTTCATGTTGACAACCTTGTTACATTCAGGCCTGTGCCAATTGGAACTGTATCTCCATGTGAGTACATGGAATGCTGAAGCAATCTGCATTTGAACAAATCTATGATGATCTTACTCTGAATCCAGAAAACCAGGAGCCAGATCAGATGATTTTGTGAAATCGTCATTGTGTCTCTATTCTGACAGACACTGAGAATCTAAGGCATTGAATTTGAGAGAAAA